TGGGCCCTGCACACAGTTGGACGGGCCGCTGCAGAGCTCAGAGCTGACCCCGTCACTCCCCGGCTCAGGACCCGATTGCTTTAGGGTCGAACCCAAACACCGTGGCTGGTCTGCCTCCAGCTGTGTCTCTGCCCTCTGCCTGGAGGTAACCTTCCTGTGAGGCCCGTGTCCACCCTGGGCTCCCTCCCCCGCCTTTGCTTCTGCTGTCCCCTCGGTGGAATGCCTTCCCCCTCGGCCTGCGCCTGTGGCCCTTGGTGGCTCAGTGCCACTGGCCTCCCGAAGAGCCCTCTGTGCGTTCCCCTGTGGCCACACCCCCCGCTCTTTCCCCCTCCCCCCGTCTCTCCCTGCCCAGGAGCCCCCAGGGAGGGTGGGCAGAGGGGGCCGCTCTGCAGATGAGGCTGCGGCGCCCACGCACGCACGCACACTTCTTGGGGGCGCTCTCGCTCGTCCTGCCCTCGGGCGGGAGGCCTCTCCGGAAGACAGACAGGGCCGGCTGAGACCAAGGTGTCCGCGGCGGGGAAGCCTGCTCTCCCAGGAGCGGTTTTAAGGAAGTCAGAGGAGCGGCGGCAGGTGAGGGCCCCCCCCCAGGCCAGGGCTCAGTCTGCGGGACGGCGAGGGCACCCCCGTGCCCACTCGGAAGGCACTGTGGTTTTGCCGGTGAGCAGGTGTCTGTCCCTGACGGGCCCACTGGCTGTCTGTCTGTCTGTTCTGGGGGCGTGGGCCAGATCCTCTGTTACCTCCTGAGAACCGGGGGAGGGGGGAGCAGGAACTGTGCGTGGGCACCTCTCCTCCTGTGTGAGGAGCTGGTTAGCAGGCTGCAGCTGGCGTGGGGGGCACTGTCAGGACGTGAACTGTCTGCAGAGGGGCGCTGCCTGGAGCCTGTGCTGCTGCGGGGTGGGGGGCTGTGCCCTGCTCCAGGCGTCCGCAGGAGGGTTGGCCCGGCCAGGACGGCCCAGCTGCTCGTCCCAGCTGCTCGTCCCAGGTGCTGAGCTGGCCTGCCTCTCGCTGTCTGCTGCGTGGGCCCGGGAGGGATGCGCTCAGAGCCCTTGGGGTGGGCTTGGCCCCGAGAGCCCACGTGTCGCGGGATCGTGAGAACCCTTCCGCACCCGAGATCTCCTCGCCACCCACAGCACCTCCCTGAGATTCGCACGTTTTATACACAAGGGAACAATCTCAGAGATTCACTGCAGTTTCTGTTTCTCGGACAAAGAGTAAGTGGCAGAAGAGGATTTGAACTCGCGCCGTCCTCTGCTTGCATTTTCTGTTAGATGAGGGCGAATCCTCGCATCCCAGCCCCTCGCATTTCCTGTCCATAAATGGAACTGCAGAGGAGGGAGTGCCTCCGATGTCCACCCCAGCCCTCTCATCTGGCTCCGGTTCTCCGCGGGGAAGCCGTGACTCCCCCTCATCCCGCAGAGGGCCTGGCCTGCCTCCCGGGGCCCGTCCTCCTGCGGTGTCCTGCAGGCTCGGGGGCGGGGGGGGGGGAGCTGGCCGGGCATCTGGCTGGCCGCCGCCCCTCTGCCCCCTCCCCAGCCAGTCGGCGCTCTCCCCCTGGCCCTGCCGACCCAGCGCTGTGCACTGTTGCCTTTCCAAACTCTTTCTGGTCTGCCTGCCGCCCGGCTGCCGTGTGGGCCTTTTTGCCCCGAGTGGTGCTGACATGGTGCAGGGCGCCGCCCCCGCCCCCCCCCCCCGCCCCGTTTGTTTGGTGATTCTGAGAGACATGTGAAAAAATGCATGAGGCCGGGGCGCAAGAGATAAGCTGGAAGGCTTGGAAAAACCCCACTTGTGGATTGCGGGTCTATTGGGAAAACTCTTTCTTTGTCCTCCCTGTCCTTGTCCCACAAGGGATCAAGTTCAGGAATAATTCCTCTATGAATGTTGATGCTTTCATCCCGGGTCAAAAGCTTGTTGGCGCCTGCTTGTCAGAGATTTTCCCTTTCCTTCTCACTCCTTCTTTTCGTGAGTTTGGCTTAAGTTCCTGTCTTCATGACTCCGAGCTCCCTCTTTAAAGGTCGCTGTCCCGACGCACGAAAGCGGAACCAGACCGGCAACTGCACAGATGCCCTCTTGGGGGTGGGGGGGTTAGAGGGGGGAGGCAGTGGGAGGGCTGGGGGAGACCTGGCCAGCCCATCGGAGTGAGCATCCGATGCCGCCTCCTGTTCCAGGAGGGCCGTGAGGACACTGGGCATCTACACCCGCACGGGGGCGCCTCTACAGGCGACCACCCATCCTGTCCGGAGCAGCCCCCTGCTTGTGGCCTCGCGGTCTGCCCCACAAACACGGTCCTCGCTCTTCTCCAGCTCAGACTCAGGTCCGAGGTGAGAACCGGAGACCCAGATGCACCCCAGGGCTCGCCCAGGGTGCCACCAGGAGGTGAAAGCAGTGGGAGGAGGCTGGTCTTGTCATGCCTGGTGCCTTCCTCGTCCCTCTGCACCAGCTGCTTCCCGTGTGTCGGGAGCGGGGGTGGCTCGGTGCTCTTGGTGCGCACCCTGGAACGTGAGCTCGCTGGCCAGGATTACGGGTCGGCAGAGCGAAGCCTCGGAGGCTGTGCTCAGCCACCGCGCTGCACGAGACGCGCTGGCACCGCTGTGAAGTTGGTCCAGCGGACGGCCTCGCAACCTGATGACGTTAATGGGATTCCATGCGTACGTGTGAGCCTGGTGTCTCCTGAAGGACGTGTTCTCCTGGCAGCGTAGGCCTGGTTCGGAGGGGCGGGGTCTGGTGCAGGGACGGTGCCCAGGGCAGCTCCCGGCTGGGTGCCCGCAGTGGGGCGGTGCAGGCAGGCGCTCGGGTGAGGCTGTGGGGCCGGAGGAACCAGGCACGGCCCCCTGACCCGAGAAATAAACCTTCCTTGAGGACACCTCACACACGGCTTGTCCTGGAGGCCCCTATGGGCGGCAGATGTGGGCTCGCTTGCGTCAGCTGCCGGCTCGTTCCGTCAGACCAGGGCAGCGGCCAGCGCTGAGCTGACTTGCCTTCGGTCACGTCCCCCCGGGAGGAGGTGGAGGGAGCTGTGAAGGTGGCTTCTGCCCGTCCTTCAGACCTCCAGAAGGCCTTCGGGGAGAGGGCCTCCTAAAGGTCCCTGGACCCTCCCTGAAGGGAGCGTGTCTCCCGTGGAGTTCCGGGGTGGGGATGGGGCGCAGGCCTCCCCACATGTGCGCTCTGGCCACCCTCGAGGGACGGAGACTTTTTTGAAACACTCAGAGAAAAAGTCACTAATGAACCCATAACCAGATCCTCTGGTATGATGCACCGGGGAGCAGATTTCAGAGGAAGAGATAGGAATCGCTGGCTTTTAGGTCTGAGAGCTCTTAAAAATGATTACTGGGGACCAAATTAGGTTCTCTGAAAAGAAGAGCAATTGTACACGGAGCTTTGTTTTGCTGCTAAGGTTACCAGAGAAGAAGCCGTGTGGCTTTTCCTCCTTGCCTTTGCCGACCTCCCAGGCTGACCGTATAGACGGGGCGGGGGGGGGCAGGCGCACTAAGCCGGGACGTCCATTCCTCGGGGTGGCCCTTACGCAGTAGCAGGGACTGGGGGGTCTTTAAGTAGTAGGAATGTCTCCTCCCACTGTTAAGGGGGCTAGACGTCTGAAACCAAGCTGCTTGCAGGGTGGGGGTCCTTCGGAGGCCCTCAGACACCATCTGTGCCTCTGCCAGCATCTGGCGGTGGCCAGCCGTCCCTGCCTGTCCCTTCCTGTCCCTGCCTCGCAGCTGCACGGCTTCCCACGCCGTCTTCCCGCGGCCGTCTCCCTGCGTGTCTGTGCCCAAGTTCCCCTGGTCTCAGAGCCACCAGTCAGCGGATTAGCACCCGTCCTAGTCCAGTAGGGAGTCATCTGAGCCTAACTGCACATCTGAAGATGCTATTTCCAAATAAGGTCACGTTCACAGGGACCCGGTTTAGGACAGAACAGATCTGTTGGGGGTTTGGGGGCGTGGGCACACTTCAGCCCACAGGCACAGCAGCTGCCAGACGGCCCGCCTCGCGCCCAGTCTTCTCTCTGGTTTCTCCAGCGTTCCACGTCTTCATCCTTAGAACTGCTGGGTTTTAGAGCCAGAGAGGTGGTCGCATTCACTGCGTCTGACTGGCAGGCCTGCCCCCACCCCCCCGATGCGGCCCGGGGCTCCTGCCCTCTGGAGGTGACGGGCGGCAGAGCCAGGGCCCCCGGGTTCTTTTCCTGGAAACATTCTGTGCTTCCTTTTTTTGAATTCTGCTGCAGGTAGTAGTTTCTGGTTCCCCTTGTGCATTAGTGTTCTTCCCCAGGAAGAATGCAGCTTCATTAAAGACCAGCTTTGTGCTGGTTCCTCCATTTTTCCCCCACAAGTCTACCACGGAGCTAGTAGGTGATAAAGAAGCACTTACTGGCTTGGGCACTCGAGGGCCAGGCGGTGGCCTGGGGCAGGGGTCTCGTTGCCAGGCCTTCCTGCAGACCTTCCCACGAATCCTGGCATTTAGTCCCCGCTGGCCCCGCTGCCGAGTCCTTCCCGGGCAGGGTGCAGTCCCACGGGGAGCAGGGCTGGTTTCAGGTGCGGCTTTCCCCAGGGGTCACGCGGGCCGACCGGAACCTCGTCGCTCTGCCTCTCTTGGCTCTGTTTCCTCACTCGGGGCCCCATCAGGCCTGTCCCTCAGACCCAAAGGTGACTGCCCCCAGCCACCCGCTGCTGCGCATCCTCTTCTCAGTGAGGACAGCTCTTTTCCCAGGAGTCTCAGCAAGAGCCCTGAGCCACCTGCCTCTGATTGGGCCGACTCGGGTCACAGGTCCTCTCCTGAGCACTCAGTGGCCCTGGGTGGCAGAATGCCCCGATTGGTCTAACCAAAGTCATGTGATCTGTGGGGCTGAGTGGTTGGGGGCCCCAGACAGGAGTGAGGGCTGGGGTGGGGGGCGGGGCTAGGGAGAAGAGGGTCAGGTGAGGTGGGTCAGGAGGGATGGGGTCCTGCCTGTCACCCGCCTTCCAGCGGCAGCCCCCTCTCTGACCAGAAGGGGTGTGTTTTCCTTCCAGGAGTACATCGACGCCCACCCTGAGACCATTGTCCTGGACCCCCTGCCTGCCATCAGGACCTTGCTCGACCGCTCCAAGTCCTACGAGCTCATCCGGAAGATCGAGGCCTACATGCAAGGTATGGACGCAGGTGGCTCTGCGCCCGTGGCAGGTGGCCCGCCGTGGGGGTCAGTGGGCGGTCATCGCCTGGGGCAGGAGGAGGGAGCGCTGGTCGTTTGAAGCACTTCGGGACAGGAAGCAGTTGACCTCCAGGGGCCACATGTTCTGGGGAGGGCCCTTCCTTCTCCCTCTGGGGCCAGCAGGGCTGGGAAATAAAAGCCCCAGGGTGCTCTTAGGGAGAGTGTCCCCGCCACCTCAGGACGGTTCTGTCTGTTGTCGTGAGGCCCCGGAGTGGCATCGGAGTGTCTCGGCGACACGGCGGCTGGAGAGAGAAGTGTATGTGGAGGAGCTCAGCGGCGGGCGGGCGGGTGGGCGCCGCTGTGTACCCGGGTGAAGGAGACAAGCAGAAGTTAAAGGGCCTTTACTCATAAATGCATGGAGACGTGTAGCGTGGCGGCTGGAGCTCATGGGGCATATACCGTGTTCTCGTGGCGGGAGCCCCACTCTTCGCTGCAGGGGCTTCTGCTGCAGCTGCAGCCTCTGTCCCCGGGGGCTCACCCCCCCCCACCTCCGGGCAGGGCAGCTCAGCGGCCTTTCCACGGTGTCTGCTTATGGTTTTGGAGAGATTCACGTTAACAGTAACCCTGGGTCCCTTTGCCTGGTCAAGCACTCCCCGCCGAGAGCCCTTGTTTAGTGTTAGGGGAGAGGCTTTGCCTGCGCGCTGGGGCTTCGTGGAGGTTCATCTCAGGGGTGGGAACGGCAGCCCCTGCCCCACCATCCAGACCGTGAGTGTGGCCGCGCACGCTGCCTGCAACCCCGGCCCGGGCGGCGACTCGGCCCCGGCGCCGTTCCGTGTGATGGCGGGACCGGTGGGCGGCTGGGCTCGCAGGACCGTCCTGGGATACTGAGAGCGGCGTCCACTGGGGGTGCGCCAAGCGCCTGGTGTTGGGTGGGGCCTCCTCCTCCTGTTCTGTCTTCCTGTGCTCGTAAAAGGGGTGCCGTCCCCTCCCTAACTTTGTGGACAGGCGCCGGAGGCCCGGCGAGGTTAGCGGACACAGCGACGTCCCACAGCCTGTGAGAGCCAGCCAGCGCTCGGCCAGGTCTCCAGCCTCCTAACCCCTGAGCTTGACTTGCACGCCCGGGGCCAAAGCGCCCCGGGTCTAGCGAGCACCTGGCATAGGTGCAGCCACAGGCCAGGCGAAGAGCATTGGTGAGTTCTCGTCTCTTCAAGGAGCGAGCCCTGAGGAAGACCTGGGGGAGCCTGACCTGGCTGTTCCACAGGGCGTCTCGAGGCTTGTTCCCTGGGTGCCTGGCATCCGTCAGGCGGGGCAGAGCACAGACCCGACCACCAGAGGGTGGGGGGCAAGTGGGCGGGCTTCTCGAGCACACCAGCATCCCTTCCTCCCTGGGGTGGTCAGTGACGAGGTCAACTCCCCTCTCCCCTCTGTGTTCCTCCCCCGGGTCCGTCTGGGGTCCCCGGGCGACGAGGAAGTGCTGGAGTGATGCTCTGGCTGAGTGCCGGTTCTGGGGCGGAAACCTGTCTCTTCCCGGGACGTGGGTGTTGGGCACCAACCGTGCAGAGGGACGGGAGATCCTGTTAAAGGGCTGTAGTCCCGACGAGTGAGGAGGTGCAGGTCACGGCCGTGGCCCTTGTCCTCCGCGCACCCGTGGGCAGAGTGGCGGTGCGATGGGGCAAGGGCGGCACCCGAGGCGGGCTTTCCCAGAGCCGGGGGCACGGGCTTCTGCAGGGGACGGACCGAGGCCGTGCCCGAGGCTGGGCCTTTGCCGCTCTGTGCTCCTGGCCAGGTCCCGGCCGGTTTTCCGTAAGACATAGGCAGTAAGCGGTTAGTCCATGGCCTCGGGGGTCGGAGTAACTGGGTTCATGTCTGACAGACACTCAGACGGGTCCCAGCCCGCTGGGGCCCCCCAGGAATGGCAGCTGCTGTTGCCGCTCCCTCACAACGGGAGGGGTGAGGCAGCTGGACTGGGTCTTGGAGTCCGTCTTGGTTTTAGGGGCAGTCAGGGCCGGGGATCAAGGGCGAGCCTGGGCTTGGAGTACAGGCGTGCGCCGTCGGGGGAGCGGGGCCGCGGTGGGCTGGACTACAGCGTGCACGGGACGTGGGGCCGTTCCTGGTGGACAGTGGTGAGGGAGTGACAGCCTGCGCCTCCCCGACGGGGCAGGAGTGTGGTCAGAGCCAGGGGAGAGCTGAAGCGTGGGGTGCTGGCGAGGGACTTGCAGAACACTGGGTCAGGGTGGGGGTTCAGAACACCTCACGCGGTTGTGGGGGACTTTATTTGTAGGCAGCTGTTGAAGGCATGCGAGCTGGTGAGTGACAGATGAGAGGGCATCTCAGACACATGCAGGCAGGGCCTGGAGACAGGTCGAACGCCCACGACCTGTGTCCTGTTGTGGGGGCGCCACACACCCAGCCACAGGCTTGAGCGACTGGTGACCGGCTCCCAGTGGGCCGAGAATCAGGCCCCGCTCTGCCGGGTCCAAGCAGCCTCAAACTCAGGCGTCCTCAGCTTCGGAGCTGCCTGCAGGGGGACTCCACCCCCGGCCCAGCAGGAGCTTGTGGACGGAACCCTAAAGACCGGCTTGGTCTGAGGCCAGCAGGAATTGTGTGGGTGGGTGGGCCGTGACCGCTGCACCCTGCGTTTTCCTTATCGCGCACACCACGCGGGGCCAGTATTCTTCCAGGAGGGCGGTCAGAGGCTGGGACTTCCTAGAGCCTTTTCCTGGGGCCGTTCACGGGGAGGCCTGCCCGCCCCGACCCCAGAGAGGCCGGCTCCTCCTCTGTGCAGGCGAGAACCTTCCGTGGGAAGCGCACCCCTGGCGCCCCTCCACCCCGCTCCTGCTGCTCCTGGAGGGGCGTGGCCCGTTAGGGGTGCTGCTGACGGCCACAGCCACCCCTTCAGATTCCCCAGGCAGTCACAGCGCTCCGAGTGTCCCGCGTTGGTGCTGGGAGCAGAGGCCTCGCAGAGCCCGCCAGCCCTCCTGCTGAAGCAGCTCGCCCTGTCCTCGGGGGCTTGGGCAGCTGCGGAGCAGACGGGGCAGGTGGGCGGCTGCCCTGAGTGGGGTGGGCAGGGGCCGAGGCCTGGGGGGGCAGCCCTTCCGCGCAGAGCAGCAGAGCGCTTGGGCGGGGTTCACGCCCAGCGGCCAGCTTTCTTTCTGCAGAGCATCCGCACTGGCAGGAGGTGGGCCTGCTGCCTGGAGCGCCCAGCCGCACCTGTCAGAGGCCCTGCGGCCTCGGGGTGGCCGGTGCCATCTCGTTGCACGTTTCCTGGCTCCAGGTCTGCGGGGGGAGCAGGCCCTTCCTCCGCCCCAGGCCTGCCGGCCTCGGGCCCGCCCGTCCGGTTAATGCTCAGGGTGCTGCAGCGGCAGGAGCCTGCCGTCGGGGTGGCTTCAGCGAGGTGGAGCTTCCTCCCCTCCCCCGGGCAAGCCCAGAGGAAGGTCGCCTGGGGCCGTGCGGGGCAGCAGGGATGGGGCTTCTCCGGGCCCCTGTGGGGCGGGGTGGCCCCCGCTCATCCAAGGCGGTGCTCAGACTCCCGCCATCCCACCCTCGGTCCGGACGTCAGGGTGGGGACGGGGACTAGGGAAAGGGGAGCAGCGGGAAGCAGCCCTGGTTCTCCTCAGGGAAGGTCTGGAAGCTGCATGGTGCTCTGCTCACACGTCGCTGGCCAGACCCTGAGTCAGGTGCTGGGCTACAAGGCAGTGGGGGCGTGTGGCCTTGATTCCGGGCAGCGGTGTGCCCAGCTGAAGTTGAGGAGCTTTGCTACCGTGGAGGAAGGGGGAGAACGAGCGTTGGGGTCAACCGGCAGTGTGTGTGCCACCTTCTGAGGGGTTCGTGGGTGCTCGCTCAGAATGACCTTTCCCCTTCTGCTGGCCGGGGGGTGTGGCCCCGCCTGTGGCCTCGGCACTGAGTCCTTCCACAAAGCAGCTGGAAACAGCACGAGGCCACAGGCTTGCAGAGGGACTCCCTGCGGAGTGCTGCCCGGGTTTCTGTGACAGACCCCACCCGCACCCCCAGCCCGAGGCATGGGCACACCAAACCTGGCCCGCTGTCCGATCAAGGGCAGGGCCTCGGGGAAGGCAAACACTGGCGGGGGTGGGCCTGAGGGCGGGGGGCAGGGAGCCTCGCCATCGAGGCGGGATTGCCGGGCGCACACCTTTGCAGGGTTTTTCCCCACGTGGCCCCCTCTTTGCCACGTGGGCCTGGGACTTCGAGATGGAATCCCCAAGACCAAAGCATGGCTCTGCCACCCCAAAGCAAGCAATTCCCGGCCCGGCTGTAGCCAGCTGCTGAGCCGACTTGTGAGAAAGCACTTGGGCTGTGATTGGATGACACGGTTGTCCCCTGGGACCTGGGGGCGGCGGCCGGGGAAGTGTCTCAGACCACAGGGCACAGGGCTCAAGAGGCCCTTTCGAGCTGTGGGTGACACAGCCGATGACAGCTGTGGGTGAGGGCTGGCTTTCCCAGCCCCCTTTCCCCGGAGCCTCCCACGCACGGGCTCTGGAGGTGACAGATGGGCATCGGATGCCAGGCCTCTCCGGGGAGGGCTGTGCACAGCCCAGACTGAGCGGGGAGCTGCCTGAGGTTTCACGGGAATTTAATCAGGGCTCATCTTGGGGGCTGGACTGCAGTGGAGCAATCTAGGCACCAAGTGAAGAGAAAATAACATTCCTTTCGGCCTGGGAGAAACAATTCCCCTCGGAGCATCTGCCGTGGGGGTGGGGAGGGCTGCCGGGTGCCGGCTGTGGTGAGTTGGGGGCCTTCCCACTCAGAGGTGGGGGTCGGCACTCCTGCCCACCCTTGGTGAGCTGCAGGGGGCTCTGGGGGTGGGGGAGAGGCGAGGGCAGGGTGGGGGGCTCCGAGTCGAGGCCTGGGCGCACACCCACCCGTGTCCTCTGCATGGTGTGGCCCGGGCTGGTCACCACTGCTCTCTGAGTCTGCTTCGTCAGCGCGTGCAGGCGGTCATTGTTAGAACTCCTTTCTGCGTATCAGCTGATTTCACTCT